GGTGGTAGTTGTTTGCCTTGTGTCCAGTTGCGTGTTCAATAGAAGATAAAATATATTTGTTTATCGTCATATGATCCTTTAAAAATAAAAATTATGAGTATGTTTTATATACGTTTTACTATTATAAAAAAAAAGTGTACATAGACTTTCTATTTAAAAAATCCCTTATTTTATCATCAGAAATGTACTGCTGCTATTAGTTTGAAGGGAAATGCCGTGATGGAAAAAGTAAACAAACGATGGAAGGAAAATAGTATTAACCGATCCCCCCCCACCCCCGGTTTTTTGTGTGGTTCGTGTTGCTCAGTCTTTAGTTTTCTATGTTGAGTTTTGTGTACTGTTTTTCTTTGTTTGCCATGGCGTTGTCAGTTTATTTTCGACTTATGAATTTGAATGTCCCTTTGGTATCTTAATTTGGTCTCGATCTCTTTTTTCCCCTTCAGAAAGAAAAAGAAGAAAACACTTGACATGACAATAACATCAATAATTCGAGATTAAAACAAATAATATTCAATAAAAAAACTATATACATACGTGAATTACATGAGAATGTATATAAATATATATTATCACGTATGTTTTGATATAACTTACAGATTAGATAGATTACATAATAATTTTTTAAGTGTTGAATCCCAACTAGTTTTAAATTGTAAAACAATTGAAAGGTCTTTTCCTTAAAAGTCATACATTTGTAATGTGAGGCCTTCAACAATGACTCCCATACAGGATAGTAGGCTAAAAGAAAACAGGCCCCGAAATGACAAATGTAAAACAAATCAGATGAGAAAACTAACGGCCTGATTTATGTACGAAACAATAAACGAAAAAGACATATTTATAGTCATATTATTTTGTATAATTCATCTACGTACAGCTATATGAATATATATTTATATGTCTTTTGCAAGTACTCTTTAAGACCTTCCATTTGATATCATGGCGACAAGCATACCTTCTTAAACTTTTCAGTTTGCGCACTTAATGACCCTTTCGAGATCGGAAGTATGATAATTGTAATGTAGACTTGATGACCTTTCATTTGATATGCGACAACACCATCTTCTAGGAAGTCAGATTTTTTTGCACTCCATCCAACTCATTTTTGGGGTACAGAAATTTGATATTTGAAATGTACAAATTACGACCTTTCATTTGATATGAAACAACCTTAAATTTTAGTTAAGATAAGACAATTTCTTTTTTGCACTCAATGACCTCACCCTTCTCTTTATGATGGAAAAGGGGGTTTAAAATTTAGATTTTTTAATAGAGCTCATTAAGACGTTCAATGTGACATGTCACATGATCCCATTTGGCAAAGTTTAAAAAATGATGCAGTATTAATTTTATAAATAGAACTTATGAAACTTACAAAGTCAATATAAAACATGAAAATTTCAAACTGCTTAATTTTCTTTGTTTTTTATCAAATGATTTTGGTATTAAGTCAACCATATAACCATGTAAAACTCTTTAATTTTTGAAGATTGCAGGTGGCTGGCTGTTGTTGAATCAGAAATTTTTGCAAAATTTCAAACTGCAATATCTCTAAAACGACAACAGATATCTCAAATCGGCTAAGTGTAAGATGACCTGCAGATGAAGTACAGCACTGTCAAAACTTGGGGCGATTCCATAGCTCATTAAGGGCTCAATGAATAATTATAGATATATGATGCAATACCGAACTTCAGAACCGGAAGTCGTAGAGACATATGGGACTACCACTATTCAACTCATAACCACTTGACCTTTCTATAATTTTTCAAAAATTGTGTATAATATTTCAAGGGAAATCACTCTTATAAGGGTTGATAACAAAATAATTGTTTATGTTTATTAACATTGCCACCTGTTTCTGTACATGTTGCCATTTTCAGATCGATTATATCTGTAACAATTTTTAAGATATATATATGCAAATAGAAGAAATTGTTTCTAGGGGATATAACTCTAAAAGGGGATGATAAAAAGTCGTTCATTTTTAGAAAAAAATAATTTGAATGTGGGTGATATTTTTTGTAATTTTTTAAGCGAATCTTTGACGCACAATGTGATTGCTGGTTGAATTTATAAACATAATTTAACAAAGACTTCTTTGAGTTTAAAATATGCAACCAGAATCCTATAGAAGAATTTATAGTCTGTATACAGACAGGACACATTCTAAATTCAGCTCACCCAAGGGTGACTGGGGAATAGAAATATGGTCACTCTTGGTCTTCTTCGATCCGCAGTAAAACCCTTGTCAAAGTGGGGCGTCCGTTTGCCTGTGCGGAATGTACAAAAACACGCAGCCAAGTTCGGTTCGTTAAATCCGATGCCTCGTGTAGAGAGAGTGAGATTGTTAATAATAATTTGTTCTCTTCCTTAACATGCATGAAATATTTGCCAGTGGACGTTAAGCAACCAACAATCAAACAATCAATCAATTCATCTACGTACAGCTATATGACTATATTGACCCCCTTTGAAGTAACTCCAAATTGAGTTTTTGTCAATTTGATTTGACGTTTTACTGTTTACTTTGACAATATTGTGATTCATTTGTTGTTCTTCATAAAATTTATCTCACTGCAATAAAGCATAATTGTACTAACACGAGAATTAAAAGTTTCATATGCCGGAAACACTTCTGACCTATCAGATTTTAACAAAACAATGATTTCTGTGCAATGTTTAAATTAATCATTATTCAAAATAATATTTAGTTTTGTAATTTTCTAACCACTTTATTCAATAATACCATTGCTTTTTTCTTGTCATGATTGACTCAGTGTTAAGTCCCAATCCTCACAGTAGACGTTTAATCTCAGTATGTACTCATTTTTGCAAACAATTTGAGGATTCGTATATTAATACTAAGTCGATGGAGTAAAAAAGACGACAATTCTATATCGTGTAATGTTCAAGAATATCACGTGCGATCAAAGGGGGAGGTTAAGTCAGTTATAAAAAAAGAAATAAGGCAGGACTAAAAATATACAGCTTGTTTTACCCACATGGACTCGGTTAGAAGATTAAAATTTTGTTAATCAATGATTTTCAAAATAAATTTCATATTTCCTACAGGTATTTGTATTACATTAACGTATTTAACGTTGGCATCAATATTTATTTGTTTTCTAGCAATGTGCATTTTACTATCCATATCCGTATACTGAAAAATCTTATACCGTCGCAGTTTGCTATCCATACCCATCTTCTTCTTTATATACAGAAAAAAAAACATCAACTGTTTGATGATTACATTCTGGCACATACCTGGTTTAACACTATTGTTAATAATTACAAATTTATCTTTCTAATTTCATATGAATTTTTCAATCTTTATATTTGTAAGTACAATTTTTCAATTTTTAATTTGATTTTTGGTATAAGATAAATACAAGATATAGGTTATGCATGTAGATATGGGTAAGTGTCGAGGAGATTTTCTCTTGTGAGTTTTTCCTTATTAAACCCATAATTTTATATAATAGCAAAATTTGGTTTATGGAATAATATTACTCCTTTTTTAGAGCCACGAACAGATCCAAAATGCATTAAACTTGCTGTGATATTTTATCCTTGACCGATAGATTCAGCTTTGAGAAAGTGCATCATAAATTTTGTAAAATTGTTCTTGGAATAACAAAAAACTCATGTAATATAGCTGCAAAGTCTGAGTTAGGACGGTTTCCACTTGACTCCTTTATAAAAACTCAAGTTTTATTATATTTTTGTAGAATTAACTGCCAGGAAAAAAACCCTCTTGTTAAAGAAGATTTCAAAGTGAATAAGTCTATATCTGAAAATGGAATATATACTTGGCAGACTTTTACAAAGCACATTTTTAAAGAACTTAATATTGAGAAAGAAGAATATGTTGATTTTGATAAACCTTTTAAACTAATAAAAAATTCTCTTAAAAAACTATTAAACATATTTAAAAAAAAGTATGATAAAATCACTCTTGAAAAACTTTCAAATATCGATAACAATACAAACCTTTACCTTTATAGTAAACTTAAAAATGAAATTAAACTGGAAGACTACTTGCACAATCCAAAATTTTTTAAAAGTCGTTAACTTTTAACAAAATTCCGTATAAGTGACCATAACTTGGAAATTGAAAAAGGTCGATATAAGAAAATTCAAGGAGAACATAGTGTGTAAAGTTTGCAAAATTTTAGATGACTGTCGAGGAACACTTTTTCCTTCGTTGCCAATTGCAAATCAGCAGCAATATTAGAAATCCCCTTATAAATGCAATTAAAACCGTTAAAAGCCCATTATCCTAATTTTAACCAGCTTGACTCAATCTCTAAACCGTTGTAAAACTATTTTAGATCCCATAAAGATATTTTGTCTAGTGTTGTAGGCTATATAAAGCAATCCATGGAGTTGAGAAAATAAGGTCCACATTGGTCAATTATCTATATACTTATATATATATATACAGTGGCGGATCCAGGGGGGGGGGGGGGGGGGGGGTTCGGGGGGTTGGAACCCCCCCTTTTTTTGGACGATCAATGTATTTGAATGGGGACATATGGTTGGAACCCCCCTTTCTCCTGGGTTTGGAACCCCCCCCCCCCCCCCTTAAAAATGGCTGGATCCGCCCCTGATATATTATTAATATTAACTTGACTTGTTTAGAACTTTTTTCATGCATTGTATGTTTCTTGTGTACATGTCTGAGGGGGTCATGTCTATTATGTTTGCATTTTAACCCGTCGGGTTTTTTTATTTTTTGCAATAAAGAGTATTATGTATTATATATTTCATAATCATGAATTTAATCACATTTTATCATAAGATCATGACCCTTTTACAATGAATAAAGACGTTTCAGCATTGAAACCTCGCGTTGGTTTCCTGGTATGTGTCGAATATGTATACGGGACGAAACATCCGAACACTGCCGACTGATACCCTGTCCTGTACTTATGTTGTACTCTATTCATCATTTTCCTTTACTGGCATTTACCAGTCAATTTTACCTGTCGCGTCCAGGTAAATTACCAACTATTAATAGAATACCAAAATGGCGACGAAGGATATTTATTAACAAAACCAAAAGTGTAGGTATTCGATTGTAACAACCAACCTGTCAAAAAAGTCTTATTTGGTCACTTTTATTTCAAGTACACAAAATTATTGTCACCTCAAAGACCCCCCTTTTATTTAACAAAACCAGAATAAACCTATGAATCAGGAAATGACAATCCTAATTAGTATTATGACAATATAAATACAGGCTGTAAATTTCAAATTATATTCAATTAATATAAACTTTGAGTAGTAGTAACATATTATGAGTGTTACTGTCTAAAAGATTTACATTTCCTCGGTATCAAAATTTCTTTTTTGCATAAATACATGATATGGTGATTTGGCTATATGATTTTTGGTTAAATTTACTGAAAACACAGAAAAAGCTAATTGGGTCATTTCAAAATGAAGGCTCATCAAGGATTTTCTAACTGTAATAAATGTAATTTTGAGAATATATTTCTTGAAATACAAAATACATGTAGTAAAAATATAATATGAGGAAAGTGTTACCGGTGAAATGGGACGAAGTCAGCAAACCTCTAAATTTACTATCCTCTTAACAGCAGATTTATATATATAAACATTTAATGTAAAAAAATTCACATCATAATTGAGTGCCTGGATGACGAGTCCTTAATTTCTGTATCCTTTAAACTTGAAGGGCATTTTTCTTTATCTTTAAAAATAACGCTTATATATTCTGTAAAATTTTCACTAGAATGATACATGTACTATTAACTTTTGTAATAAGATGATTTCTTTATTTTGACGTCTTTCATTTTATATTAATCAGTATTTTATTACATAATTCTTTTATTTTCTTTATTCTTTTGCCCTCAATTATTCTCTATTCTTTATATTTTTTGCTCAATTTTCTCCATTTCCTTAGTTATTTTGGCCAATATTCTCTATTCTGAAAACCCCATCCAGACCCTCGTAATTTCTGGTGAAAAAGTAGCTGAATTACGGAAACATATCCGATGTTGATCCTATTGTTAGGAATTTTATATATGACATCATTTTCAATGTAAACAAAGAAAAGCAACAGATAGCATTTTTTTGTCTCGTTTTAAAGTATAGTTTTATTTAAAACATAATAACTTATATCTTGAATACCAAGCGTTAACAAAGTTAACGATTTTGAGATCATAAGTATATATTGATTTTCATATTGATTTTTGGTTTTACTGATTTTCTTACTGTTATTGGGGACTTCGTCCCCATATAAGACATCAATATATTGAAAATTCAACTCGCATTTACAAAACACTGTAGTCTCAGAAAGAGGTGTGGTGTTGGGTCTTTTGATTTTGCTTTTTTTTTGTTTTTCAGTTTGATGAATTTAGGGATAACTTTAAAAAAAAAAACTTTATATTCATTATCAAAAAAGTTAAGACAGCATTATCGATTCCTTTGGTCATTTATTTGAGGTTAATATTGGTTTAACCGTTTTTACGCTCATTGATTGGGTAATCTGATACTAGAGGTGCATTTTCACACTAGTTATATTGTTCATCTAAAACTGAAAAAGAAAAGTAAGTACAGATTCAAGAATCGTTAGAAATATTTATTTATGTCCAGAATGTTCTAATATTTAATTAAGTTGTCTGATTCTATTATGTGAACACTGACAAAGCCAAAAACTTGGAAGTGTGATGTCTACTATCAATTGAATGTTCACAATTAGAAATTCAAGGTTCAAAATTTTGATTTGTTTGGAAAAAAATAATACTCATAAATGTAAACACATGTCATGATGACATCCAGTTTTAGGAAGCTACACGTATACAATGTACTCTGTGGGAAAATAATAAAAATTTTGCACTAAAATAACTCCAGCAAAATGAGACATTGATAATCATAATAGTTTTTATAATCTCAGCCAATCACAAATAACTAAACATTACAAATTAATTTTTCAGTAAACCATCATAGGATCCACATGTAAAAGTGAAACAATCTTATATTATAGCTGAAATTAGAACCAAGTTAACATGAGTTATCTCCCTTTACTTTCATTATATTTTCTTATCTGTCCAGATAAGAAATATACAGACTATGCATTTTAATAGAGTAACCTCCCTTTTGATAAGCATGTACAAGCGTATGTTAGCACAGGAAATTTATAGCTAATCGGATAGCACTAAATAACCCAGAGAAGATTTTTCAAACAGAATGATTAATGTAACACCATATTAATGTAATATTATTGTAGGTCACTTATACATGTACATGTACAGTATCTGAGATCTGAACTCTTAATATAACATGTTCAATGAAGCTTTAAATGCAAGTCAAGAGTAACCTACTGTTTGAGAGAGGCTGCTACATGTACATATACTTATACTCCCAAGTTTCATCTTGACACCAATGAATATGAATTTAGGCCATTTTAGATATGATATCAAACATGAAAATTAATAGAAGTCAGTGAATGGAGCATGAACATATCAGAAATTTTGGTCAAAGAGATCAATTTCTTCATGGACAACTGTGACAGTCATGAATTCAGTCATACGTGTACTTTCAGCCCCCTATATGCATCCTTACACCAAGTGATGATTGTAATTTGTAGCTTGATCACCCTGTATATAATTATGTTGAACTAAAGTCAGAACATAGACATAAAGCTTTATACTAAAATCTAAAATTTGTATCAAAACTGGTATATCATTATGTTGCTAGACATGCTAGATAGTACTGTAAATTACAATGTACATGTAAGTGGACAGGAATTGTCTGGGAATTTAGCTTGTTGCATACTTATTTGGAATGTTTTAAAGAGAAATCAGACTCTGTTTGGTAAAAATGTACATGTATATTTTCCATAGGTGAATGTACATGTATGACAGGGTTATAAATCAGTGTTATCTGCATTGTGTTTCACTATGTTTCACTTAGGTGCCCAGTTTCACTGCAAAAAGAGTGCTCTTTGGCTGAATCACACTAATAATAAAGTCTATGTGTACTGAACAAATACATGAACATGTCATAACCATGATGAGACATTATAATTAATTTATTATATATCCTTGCGTTTTTCATGGTTAAAGGTTGGATCAAATTGAAGATGGCCCTTTGAGCCTGTGTAGACTATATAATGGAGAGATTTTAGATTAGAGTCAATGCTGGAGACAGCAACTAAACATCAGTCAATCCATATACAATATATGTACATTGTCAGAAAATATAAAATTTATTTGTATGAGCTTTAGAAACAGGACGAAAAGCGAGCCTCGCCGAGCTTTTCTCCTGTTTCGTAGCGAGTACAAATAAATTTTATATTTTCCGACAATGTACATATATTGTTTTTATCCTGAAATTTACACCCAACACTTGAAACTTTAGTTGTTAAAATCTAAATCATTGTCTCTAATTTTTCAAAGAAATCGACATAGTTTAAACGCAGACCGCGAAGAGGACCCCAAAATGAACTGGTACGCAGAAAGAAATATCCACATTACCGCCTGCTCAACATGGGAGAGGGGTAACAGGAGACTTTATTTGTACAAGTACAAATAAAGCAAAAATTTATTTGTGTACCTGTTATTTGTACAATAGTTAGCTGATTGCAGGATAAAAAGGATTACATTGTCTTTGATACCTTTATTGTCTTTAAGATAAAAAATAACTTAATTTTGATATTCATGGTTTTTTTTACATTTTTTTGTTTTATTACATGTAATTACATTTTTTTAATTAATCTGCTAACTGAACATCAGTTTCTGCTTGTGACTATTTATTTTTTTACTGACTGGTCCAATTGACTAAATCAGCATGGTTTCAAGTATGGAAATTATCTAAACATACACGAAAAGCAAGACTTTTAAATAGAAATAAACTCCCTAAGAGATTCTTAGGTGGACTGTTGCTATGCTAAATTTCTGTTCAGTCCTGTCCAAGATACTCTTATTTTCCAGTGGCAGGCCAGATCGTCTCCCTTTTTCAGTCGTGTCCAAGATACCCTTATTTTCCAGTGGCAAGTAATATCGTTCCCCCTTTTCAGTCCTGTCCAAGATATCGTTATTTTCCAGTGGCAGGCCATATCATCTCCCCTTTTCATTTCAGTCCACAACTACCTTGCAGCCCCTACCTATTTTATTAATTTTATTGTTAATTTGTTCTCTTGAACATTCACTTGATATAAAGTAAAATCTTCCATCTAAGGTTAAAGAGGTACTAAAACCCACATAACAAGTTATTCTTATCTAAAAGTTCGAAATAATTGATAAAAAATGCAAAAAAACCGATGCAATTTGGTCCACTAATTACAGAGATAATAGCGTGTAAAGTTCAACTATTTTTACCTTCAGAAAATCCAATCAACGCTACTTCCCGAAACAGCACTAAAACCAAATCTACTGGAAGTGACGCACTGTGGGTCACTTCTTCGGCTTATCTAAACTTTGTTTTATAAATGAACTTTCTTCTGATCGTTGATTTAAAGCACTGCCAATGAATTTCGCTACCCATTCAAGGCTCATTCTTCATTATGACCAATTTGTCAAAAGGAACAAAATATGTTTCAGAAGGGAAGTGTATTTATAACGTGTTTCAACAGAAAAGGGGGGATAGGGTTGGGATAATTCAACATTGAGTTTTTAACTGAAAACATTGTTCCTGATCGTAGAACTGAGACAAATTGACTGTCAATATATTATTAATCTAGCTATTAATTTTTTAAAAAATATTGAGTCAAGAAAATTTTTTTTTTTATATTTACATGTAGTAAAGTTGCATAACATCTGGGCAAGATATGACGGTAGAGGCTTCTGTTCCATGTAATAAAAATAATTAATTGCCAGTTAAAAACCGGGTATGTGTAATACCTTTTTAATAATGTTAATGATCAAACTATAAAGTTTATCACTTTATAAACACCAGGAGGCATTTCTGCATGGCCAAGTTGTTAATTACCTGAGTGGAGGGATAATAGCTACCCTTTGATCTTTATTACCTTACTGTATACAGGATGTTTACTTATCAGTAGTATCAAAGTGCAGACTGTTTTAATTATCAGGATCAA